TATTTAATTTCCGTCTCAGATTCTCACATGCTGGGATTAGCCTACTGTCACAGAAGATTCAAATTTTACTTATCAGCAAGAGTTGAAATGAGAAACAGTAAGGCTGAGCAGCGCTGAGCAGGGTGAGAAAACCAGCACATCATCAGTTTATAAAACGTCAGAGCTGGAAAACATTTAATAACGTTCAAACTCCCCTATTAAAATTGAAGTTCCTCATTTTTGTCTTTTAAGCTTATTTTGTTTGTTAGTATATTGCAACTGACTAGATTAATTCTTGACTGACAATAAATGCTCAATCATATTTGCTGGATAATATTTTTTAAGATTCATTTATTTTTATTTTATGTGTTTAGGTGTTTTGCCTACAAGTGTATCTGCACCTGGGGAAGCCAGGGACAGGGTTGGAGTCCCTGGAACTGGATTTGCAGATGACTGTTGGCTACCAAACAGGTGTTGGGAATTGAACCAGGTTCTCTCAGAACAGTCAATGCTTTTAACGACTGTGGATCAATTTTTAAGGAGAAGAAAGCAGAGACCTAGGAATTTTACTCAATTCCGTACCTACTGGCAAAGCTGAAAATGCACTCATAATCTAGTATGCTATCATCTCTAGAAGGTATAAGTTAATTTCCATCTTTGGATAAATAAAGAGAGTACTGTTTGGCAGGCATTCAAAAAGGAAGGGAGCATAAACTGAAACATTTTTCACATTCTTCTCCAATTTGTTATTTTTGTTTAAGTGATAAAGGCCAAAAAGCTAAAAAGCCAACCCTAATGTAGTGTGTTACATCTAATTTTTTGTTTTGTTTTGATTTGGTTTTTCAAGACAGAGTTTCTCTGTGTAGCCTTGGCTGTCTTAGACTTTGTAAATCTGGCTGGCCTTGAACTCACAGCAATTCACCTGCCTCTGCCTCCCTGAGGGCTAAGATCATAGGCGTGTACCACCATGCCTCATAGTTACATCTAATAATTAAAAACTATTTGCAGAAGCCAGACATAGCAGTGCATGCCTTTAATCCCAGCACCTGGGAGGCTGAGGTAAACTGATTTCTGGTAAGCTGATTTCTGTTGAGTCCAGACCAGTGTGGTCGATATAGGGAGTTCCAAGACAGCTAGGGCTAGGGACCCTATCTCAAAAGCAAACAAAAATTCATTCTCAAGTGCACACACACACACACACTCAACTAAATGAATGAGTGAATGAACAAATGACAAACAAATACGCTATATTAATCATTACTAGAGGTAGAAACTAGCATCTGGTTAATCTCACAGGTGTCTATGTCTCATTATTTGTGATATCGGGTTAAATAACAGCGCTGTGATAATCTCTGAGATACTAATAAATAACAGATAGCCCAACACCTTTCTAAATTTACTACAACAAATGTCAAAGAGCCCTTAACAGTTCTGGCCTAGGCGCAAGAGATAGCGATCACTTTCTTCCAAATAAACAAAGGGAAAGAAATTAACTTTAAGTCCTTTGCTGGAACCAGTGGCATACATCCATACGGCAGCTTCTTGGGAGACTGAGGCAGAAAGATCACTTAAGTCTAAGAACCTGGCCAGAATGGGCAACACAGCCATTCACTTCCTACCCTCCACATGTGTCTGTCTGAAGATTCTCACTTGAGTGCACCTATCTCTAACTGTGTCAGAAGACTAGGAAAGAGAAACTGAAGGCAACATAACTCCATCAGCAATGAATGTAAAGCCAGGCTACACCACTATCTGACTGTTCAAGCACTTAAAAGTGCTTTTAAACAAAAACTGAGGAAATGGCTCAGGAGGTAAAAACGCTATGTAGGCACAAGGAGTGGAATTCAAATCCCCAGCACCCACATAAAAACCCGGCATGGCTGTAACCCCAGCCTTGGAGAGCAGAGACAGGCAGTTCTCAAGAGCACACTGCCTAGCTAGCCAGCAGAACAGAAATGGCCACTCCCACTCCCTGACACCTGTCTCAAATCTGTAAGGCACAAAACGACACAGGAAGACACCTGACATCCTCCTCTGTCTCTACATGCACTCCAACAGGCATATGGACCTGCACACTCACATGCCTGCACCACACAGACACACACACACACACACACACACACACGTTTAAAGGCAGTCTCACTGCATGGCCCCGGCTTAGCTAGTACATGCTATGAGCTCACACTAGTCTTAAACAGGCATTCCACCTGCTCCACACTCACAAATGCTAGGATTAAAGGTATGTACCACAAGGCCCAATTAATTTAGCTTCAAAAAAAAAAAAAAAAAGAAGAAGAAGAGAAGAAAAGAAAAATTAACTATATCAGAGATAGGCATAACTATGAATTTGAGGCCTGACTGGTCTACAGAGTTCCAGGAAGCCAAAACTACACAGTGGGACGGTCTCAAAATGCACACATGTGCACACACACAGATGTTAAAAATCAGGGTCTGGAGAGGGCTCAGCTCAAATGAACAGCACCTGTGGCTCTTGCAGGGGACCTAGGTTCATTTCCCAGTACCCACAAGGTGGTTTAGAACTCTAGTTCCAAGAAATCTGACACCCTCTTCTGGCCTATGTGGGCATCAGCCATGCATGTGGTATACATGCACACAGGCAAAACAGTCATACAATTAAAATCTAAGAACCACAATTTACTAGGTTTTGAAGAAAGAAGACACATTAGTAAATATTTAAAAACTGGTTTTTTTTTTTCCTCTGCCTTTACAATATATCTCACTGCATATCTTGGTATTTCAGTATCAGAATAAACACTGGCTTATTTGAATTATCAATTTAAGTTCAAACATGAGCTACTAAAGGATAATTCCCCTTTTTGATTCAGCATTTACTCTGGATATGTTAGCACCTAAATATATAACCACAAGGACATATGTAAATTATGGACGTGACTACAAGACTGAGCGCCTGAAGCGAATTTCCACAGATGAATGATAGTAACCATTCAGTACGATCCAGGGAGGCACACAACCAAGAAGCAATTCTACAGAAGTCTTCAAGGGAACGAAATCTTTAAGTGGGAGGAAAACTTGCCAGAATTAGTCAACAGAGTCAGAATACAAGAGCCTGCCAACAGAGATCAAGTTTAAGGCTGGTCACCAACTAGACTCAGAAAGTCAACACCCAAAAGTCAATGTTTCCATTTCTCAAATTTGAGTTTCAGAAGGACCCTTCCAAACAGACTCATGACCAAGACTAGACCAGTTAAAGGCCCCATCTTAAAAGTTCCTCCCTGTTATCTGCCAGTCAGACCACAATGACCAACAAGAAATAAATATGGAAGGTGTAAAGTTTATGAGGCTACTCCTGCAGGCTGAAGCTTTACCTGAGGGGTGTGTGCGTATATACATATAATACACACACACAAACACACACACACACACACACACACACACACACACACACACGGTATATATAAAATCAACTTTCGCTGGAGATGTGGCTCAGTTGGTAGAGAAACTGCCTAGCCCCCATGAAGCCCTGGGTTTGATCCCTGGCAATAAACAAAATTACTATGCAGGTACAGTCCACAATCCTAGCACTTGGGAGATGGAGGCAGAAGGATCAAAAGTTCAAGGTCACTCTTGACTACATAGTGAGTCCAAGGCCAACCTGCTTTACATGAGACTCTGTCTCACAATAAGTAAGTATAAAATCTTCATCCTGGTTCCTGGGGAAAATACTCTCTATTCCAGAGTGCTAGGAAAGAAACACCTCAAGACCTCTTTATCATACACAACACAGAGAGAATCTACTGCCCCAGCACGTGCCCTAACTTAGCGGAAAGCCTTAAGTACAGGCAAACCTAGGCCAAGGAGACAAGATGGCAGGGGAGCTGTCTGAGCGCGGGCTGTGAGGCTGAGGTGGGCTCAGGCCGGGGAGTACACGGCCACCAGCTCCGGGGAGGGCACACTTCTGGGCTGTGATGGAGGAAGGGCCTGGCGGGTGTGCGCACCTCATCCTAGTGGATGCGGTGGCGTGACCACGCTCGGTTTTACGGAAACGGAGAACTCGGGCTCCGCAGAGCGAGTGATGTTCAGACGTTCCTGTGCAACTTGGGGACGGGACTCTGAAGGAAGAGAAAACTAAAGGGGAAAAAAAAAAATTAAAGAGGCGAGGCCTCGAGAGCAGCCTTCAGCGGAGATCCTCCCAGGGCACCTGCCGAAGGCTGGCGCCGTTCCCCGCCAGCACGGCGACCGAGCCGAGGGGAAGCTGCCCAGGAGGGGACAGCGCGAGCAGGACCAGCGCCGGGGCACGGTGCGACCTAGGGCTGGCCGAGGAAGTGCGGGGACCTCGGAAGCCGAGCCCCGCTCCTCCCGCGGCCGCACCGGAGCTCACCTGGCCGCCGCCGGGCCCGCGGGACGGACTTCCCGGGCGGGCGGGCGGGCGCGGACCGCACCGGGAGGAGGGCGGCGGCGGGGCGGGAGCCGCGCGGGGCGGAGCCGAGCT